GGTCTAAAGTGCCTGTTTAGGCAAGCTTAGGCAGGCACAGGGGACTGCGGTTCAATCCCTGGCACCACATGCTGTGCCAGCCCCACCCTCAGGATGGTCTGAGCTGGAGAAAAAAAAAAAAAAAAAGAAATCAATTAAAAACCATGGGAAGAAAATCACTAGGAAGCCAAAGTTGTGCACCATCTGATTATATGTTTTTGTAATTATATTTTAAAAATTAAATGCAAAGACCTTGGTGTAGTGTTCACACTTGTAATCTCAGGAATTTGGAAAGCTGAGGAAGGAAGATTGTGAGTTCAAGCTCAGCCTCGGAAATTTAGGAAGACCCTGTCTCAAAACAAAAAATAAGGGGCCGGGGAGATAGCTCAGTAGAATAAGTGCTTCCCTGGCAAGCACAAGGTCCTGAGTTCAATTTCTGATACCACCAAAAAAACAAAACAAGATATAAGGAAAGGGCTGGGGATGGAATCAGTGGTAAAGTGCTTGCTTAGCAGGTGTACTAGGTTCCATCCATCTCCAGCACTACAAACAACAACAACAAAAAGACCCAGCTGAGCCTTTGTTTATACTATACAACCATCAATGCATCACCCTGCAGGTGGGGGAGCTCTGTCCACCCTGTGTGAAGTCTGGCCTCCTGCTCCCTGACCAAGAAGCATCTAAGGTTCTGAGCATGGCCGCAGCCAGCCTGATGACTACACAAACCCCCGAGGCCACGGTGGCTCACTCTGCTGGCTTTTTAATTTTAATCTGCACTGCTGATTTAACAACAGGCTGTCTGTGGGCTACAGAAATATGATCACTTTTATATAAAGAACTAAATCTAGTAGTGCATGCCTATAATCCTAGCACTCTGGGAGGGGATTGTGACTGAGAGACCAGCCTGAGTGATTTAGTGAGACCCTGTCTCAAAACACAGTAAAATATAATAAAAGGGCTAGTGAGGTCCTACCCCTCCCCGTAGAAGGGAAGGAGGAGGGAGTGGGGGAGGGGAGGGAACGTCACTTCCAGGCCAGCACCCAGCAGTGAGGGCCTGAGCTCAAACATGCTTCCTCTGGGGCGATTCACCTAATGGGCTGGAACAGGGACTCTGGAGTCAACAGCAGACGTGGCTTTACCCACAGCGATTCCTGTGCTAGGATGACTCAGAAGGAAAGTGGCAGCTGGGAGTCAAGCCAGAAGCTCTGCAGTGTCACCCCAGACGAGGCCACATTTGGCAACTGTCTGTGTCCCCAACTGGGCTAACCCAATCCATCCCCGGAACCCTGCTGAAGTCTCCACAGATTGTTGGGTGGTGCCTGGCATGGGGCAGACCTGGGCGCCCATCCCAAGAAACCCTGCCCCCCCCCCCCCCCCCGGGGCTAGCAAATGCCATGTATGAACACAGAACTCTGGGGCTTCAGTCTTCCCTGGTTCCCCCCAGCTGAAGTGAAGTGTTCTAAGAGGACAATGCCCAGTGGCAGAGGAAGCATCTGGGCTGCACTCACCATGGCGAAACCGGAAAGGAGGGCTGAGGTCCGGCTGGAGGCCTTCAGCTTGGCCCTGCTCAGGTACAGCTTCCTCCAGGACAGGGCCTGCACTGAGTGGTGGTTGGAGGTGACCAGCTCCAGGTAGCTGCGTCGGACCCAGTCCCGGTAATCCATGCCCTTATGGCCAGGCTCAGGGCAGGCGGCGTTGGAGGGGTCCACAGGCACGTTGAGCTCTGCACTCATGGTGGGAGCCAGGCTGGGGTGGGGGCAGGGGTTGGGAGAAAGACAGCTTAGGCATCCTAGGTAGAATGTGGCCACGAAAAGCCAGACTCCAGCCCCTTTCTCCTTCCCAGGAGCCCACAGAACACTTGTGACCACAGGGAGCAATGGGTGTAGGGCCCTGGTCTTTGAGGTTGTCCCCAAGCCATAAAGCGGGAACCACCTTCAGACCGGGAGGGTCAGGCATGAAGTCCCAGACAGGATTGCGGCCAAGTTGTTCTGCTGCAAAGCTGGAATACTCCCCAGACCATGCTCAAGTGATCCCAGGTTCCAAGACTATGTGGCTGTGAAGTGCACGGAATTCAAATGCTGGCCAGAAGCACCCAGCCCTGAATCTTTGGACCTGAATGATCTTCTAGGAACTGGAAGCTCTAGCATTCAGAGAGAGCCTGGGGGCTGGCTCCCTAGCAGAGCACAGGCCTAGCACATAGGAAACCCTGGGTTGCATCCTCAGAAGGGAGAAGTGATGGGAGCCTGGAACCTAAACTTACCACACCTAGATTTGACTCTGCCATGAGATTCTGATCCTGCCACCCGTCGTTCTGATCTCATGCCCTCATTTTCAGAATTGGAACTTCCTACCTACAGGACTCCTCACAAAATAATGCATCCAAAGACTCAAAATTGTGTTCAGTGTCCAGGTACCAACCACAGAATGAACGCTTCCAAGTAACAGCTAACTTCTGAAATCCAACTTAGTTTTAATTAATTATTATTATTATTTTTTGTACTGGGACTAAGTCCAGGGCCTTTACACTGAAGTGCATCCCCCAATCCCAGCCTTTTTTAAATTTTGAGAGTCTTGCTAAATTCTTAAATTGCCCAGGCTGGACTTGAACTTTGGATCTTTCTGCCTCCGCCTCCTAGAATTATAGATTATAGTAGTTCCTCCTAAAATCAAATATTAGGTTTATATAATTCAAAGCCAATTCCAGGCTGTAATGAGAAAACCTTTAGTAAAATAAAAAAAAAAACCAAAACTAAATCCACCAACTGATAGGAACACATTTTAGGGGGAAAGGGACGCTGGAGACAAGTGGAGTCAACGCTGCTAAACACTGGGTTTGACAATAACATGGATTGAAGGGCTGATCTGCCGAGATCTGTGCAGTTAACCCCAAATCCCCAGTAACAGCACAGGGGATTGGTAGCCAGCCACACACAGGAGGGATCAGTTCTAATTAATCTCCAGGGGGTGCTTCAAGGGCACAGGCACCTTGCAGCAGCCTGACATCACCCAGTGACTTCTCCGTTCAGGGCCCAGGGCAAGTCTGCCTAAAGCTATGAGGAACCTAAGCGCCATGTAGGTCCCCGGGAGTGTGGCCGGGGACGTAAGGCGTATTTATCAAGATCCGCAGCAAAGTAAGTGCCTCCCACTTCATCCATCATGCCAACTCCCAGCCCAGTCCCAAGGGAAGGCCCTGGAGGTGGGCAAGGACCTCCTTTGGCTCAGCTTCCTCTATCTTTCCCCCTGAACTACAGAGCCACAACTCTTACTGGGCAGCGGTCAGGATCCCCGGGGAACAGCCTGCGTGCCATCTACCAGGTGATGCTAATTACCAGGTCACTTATAGGAATGCCAATTTAGGCACCTTTCCACCCACATGTGCAGCCAGCAGCACTACATCCAAGCGCTCCATCGCTACTATGGCTACTATGTCCCTTCCCCTTGGGGGAGGAATTCGGAGAAATGAGCTCACTAACCAATCTGTAGGTTGACCTCAAATAACTGAAAATGTTGTAATCTTGAGCTGTGCTTTCTCTTTTCCTCCCCCCATTCCCCATACAAAGCAGAATCAAGCCTGTGGGCCTTAGGGGAAGAGAGGATCTAACTCCTGCTTTCTCTGCATTCTATCCCACAGAATCTTACACTTGGTTCATAGCCTCAAAGGGTAAAAGAGGCAGATTCTCCACCTGCAAGGAACTCACTGTGCAGCAAAAAAGCAAGACAAGGGAGTGACCCTCTCCAGTGGGCTAATTCATAGGGGAGGAGGGAGCACAGAAGGGCACCATTCTCCTGCTGGGCAGGCTAAAGGACCCTGCAGGAAGCACCCAGGAGCCTCTGTAAGGCTCAGACATAGATAGTGAGGACAGGGGGACAGAGGCTCCCTCAAAGACAAGATGCTCTCTGAGTGAAGGGTCTGTGAGGGCCAAAGACCAACCAGCTCCAGGAGCACAGGGAGGTGATTCCCACCCTGGGATTCAGGCAGATGAGGGGGCAAGACACTCCTCCAGCTTTCCCCAGCCAACGGGCATGGAAGGAGCTAGCGGTGGGAACAGTCCAGTACTGCTGGGTCCTTCTAGGCCAGGACCATGCACCCCAGCAAGAGGATGGACGCTGGTGGACCTGTGGGACTGTAGAGGGAGGAAGGTATGTGTGGGCAGGAAGCCCCGGAGCAAGCGAGGTGAGCACAGACAGCTTCAGGGTAGGGAGGTCTGAGCTCAGCCTCCAGGAAGTAGCTGGGCCGCAGATGTTCCTGAGTGGGTGGGGACAGCAGGAAGGGCTGGCTGGCTGGCACTGGATCTTAATACCAACCTGCCAGGCCCAGTGGCTCTAGGCTGAGCACAGTGGCTCATGCCTGTAATCCCAGCATTCAGAAGGCTGAGGCAGGAAGGAGGATTGCCCCAAATTAGCTGGGCTACGACGTAGTTCAAAACCAGCCTAGACTACAGCAAAAACTTGTCTCAAAAAACAAAACAAAACAAAACACACACACACACACACACACACACACACACACACACACACAAGATAAGCCTACTAGTCCTGAAGTGATCTCCCAAGGGACCAGCTGGGATGGGACTCAAATCCATCCTCCAACCTCCAGCTAGGACCAGCCTTAGCCCAGCCAGCCAGCGCCTCTGGGATGGAAGAGTCCGGCCCTGGGCTCCAGGCTCCGCAGGGGGTGGGCTGGGACAAGATGGAGGCGACTTTTGTCAGACAGCCCTGGCTCCAGAGGATGCGCCCCTGGCTACACCTTCTAGGCTTTTTTGCTTTTATCTTTGTAAGGAGCAGAGTAAAGAGTCTTGCAGAAAAATGGTGACCCTCTCTGTCTCAAGATTCGGGATTTTCCCAGACAGGCTGGTCTGAAACAGCTCCAGGACACAGGCTCTGGAGTATGCCTGTCGTGACTTCCTCTAAACATCTGGGGCACGGGAAATGTCTGTCACAGACCGGCGTGCTGAGGGGACCTGCAGCTGCTACTGGGGCCTCCTAGGGACGTCCACCTCCATCTCTGCCCTTTCCCCTCGAGAAGCAGCTCCAACGGCCGCAGAGCTCAGATCCCACAGGCACCGCAGCACGCCTGGGATTCCACAAGACTGGGAGAGTCCGGATACCATCCTCTCCTCTAGCCATCCTCTGCTTTATTCATTCCATCTAAACCCACCCAGGAGGAAGCCCCGTCCCTCTCCGGTCAAGCATCCCCGACCCACGCCATCCTGAGTGGGGATTCCCCCCTAGAGCTCTCTCCTACCTGCTTCTCTGCGGCCGAGGGACGGGAGGGCGCATCCGTCCGGAGCGGAGCACTCACCCGAGCTGTGCTAGTTGCAGCACCGGGGTTTGGTTGGGGGCTCGCAGTCTGTGACAGCGCGGCCCTGTGGCCCTGCTGGGGCGCAGAGCGCTGGGCCCCCTCCCTCCTTCCGCCTGGTGCGCGTGGGGTCCCCCGGCCCCGCCTCCGCCCTGCCCCCGCAGCTGCCAAGGCAACCGCGCCGCCGTCACGTGATCAGCTCGAGGGGGGAGCTGCGAGCCACGTGACCCGATGAGCCTAGAAGAGTGGGGCTCCTCCTCCGGGTGCTCGGGGTCGGCATGCGGACCACCAGGGACGGCGAGCCTGGGAGATCTGTTGGCGCTCTTTTCCTGCCCCAAGCTGGAGTGCGAAGTGGCGAGGCAGCGATGAACCCCTCTGGCTGCCTGACCGCGAGCTTTCTCTGACCCTGTGTCAGATCCTCAAGGACCCGCAGGGTCATCCCTGCTAGTGCCGCGGTGGGAGGGTGTAGAAGGGGGAACGCCGGGTTTCGAGGGTGGTCGCCCAAGTCAGTCCTCAGCCCGAGAAGGGTGGGATGGGAGTAGGGGTGAAGGGAAGGCTCAGCCTGGCCATTCCTGTTCACAGGCTCCAAGGGACCCCTGCGACCTCACCCTGTGCTTGGCCCTGGGGACGTGCTCAGACAACTGCAGCTGCAGAACCTCTCAGCCTTGCTTGTGAATTCTGCGGTTTACCCGAGATACTCAATCAGGAACTTTCTTTCCAGGAAGTGCACATGAAAAATTCACCGAGAGGGAAAGGCGAGATGGGTTCATATCAACCCATCGGTGCCAGATAGCCCCTCGGAGTCCTCCCTACGTACCTGATAGGCTGCTGCATGGCCTACATAGGATTTTTCCATCTGTCACAACGGCATTGGACTGTGACACATTTACCCAGACGAAAGAAAAATTCCACTCATGTCACCCAGTCCAAAATTTTGACAATGGGGAGGGTATAGGTGCAGCAGATGCCAGACTATGCAGCTTTACAGAGCCCACTGCTGAGCTGAGTGCTATCTTTTAATCCAGGAGGGCATTTAAAAGCAGACTAAACCAGTTTCCCCCTCCTGGAGGCAGATTTGGCCCTAAGAATGGGAATAAGAGGATGCCACGGTGACTGCAGCCTCCCTCTCCCAGAGATGCCTACTGTAGGAAAGTGAACCAGTGTCCTCAACAATGTCAGGCGGTGGCTTTCTGGCTTTCAGACTTCACGTTCATGGTAAGCAAACTTGAAAACAGGAAGAAAAGACTTCGTTTTACAAAAAACTTTGTAAACAACAATTGCATCACAAATGAAAGTCTTTTCAGCAAGAGCTCAGGACAGTCTCTCGGGAAGCCTGGCTCTGCTGCCCTGCAGCAGGCTTCCAGCTCCAGTTACGGAGGTCTCCACCCAAGCACAATTACCCAGCTTGCCCAGGCAGAAGCAAGTGCCAGCTGTAATTACCAGTGCCTTTCGGAGCCACTTTCCTAACCAGACACAGAAAATGGCAGGGTGTTTTTACCCTTAAAAGGCTTGGGGACTCACACACTCAGATGGAGGGAGCCAACGTGGTGTGGCGGTACAGCCTGTAATCCCAGCAACTGGGGAGGCTGACCAATTGCAAGTTCAAGCACAGCCTAGGGAATTTAGCAAGACTATCTAAAAAAATTAACAAAAAGGGCTAGAGATATAGCTCAGAAGTACACTACTAGTTCTACCCGAGTACTAGAGGGGAAACGAAAGGATACAGGAGGCCACTGTTGAAAGATTTAGTAGTCAGAAACTGATGTGTGGAGGATTCCTTCAGGGGTGTGGGGAGCTGAGTGGTAGTTTGCTACCAACCCCTTCCACCTTCTGGCTGGGGAGTATGGTGCCCACCCCTCACCCCCAAGCCAGGACACTGGGCTGCAGTCAGGATATGTCCTCGGTTGGCAAGTCATTTCTCCTAAGGTCTCAGCTACTGCAGCTTTGAAAAGACCAATTCTCTGAGGAGATATGCACCCGGGGTCGAGCACCTGCTAGACACTGTGCAGCATATTTCCTTGTTCAGTGAACCCACAGTTTTTTTTCCCCTCTTGACTTCCACACTTAGTACTGAGGATGACTAAGGTGCCAGTCTGCTAGTGCCTCGCTTCTGTCCCCTCTGCCATTCACTCTAGGGCCTAGCCCTTTTTATCTCCTGCAGCAGCCCTGCTGTCTTGAAGCCAATACCTCATCGAATTAGCTTGTCACTACTGTAGCAAAGTACTTGGGGCTATTTTACAAAGACAAGGTTTATGATTCTGGAGGAAGCAATCTAAGTGGCCTGGCCCAGGTTTTGAAGAGGATCCCTGGGCTGCATCAGATCATGGTGGGCACAGGTGTCATCCCTGTGTGGTCTCTCCTTTTTATGAAGCCACTAGGATTTAATCATGGGGAGCCACACTAATGACCTTAGCTAGCTGCTCTCCAAAGGCCCCACCTCTAATACTATTAACCCTTTGGAGATTAGGCTCCTGCATGGATGGGGTGGGGGGTGCAGACTGACCTTCTGACCTTTCCACTCACTTCACAGCCCACCCTGGACTGTGCTGAGACCCTTCCTGTTCCCTTCCAGCCACGCTTGTCTCACCTTCAACCTGTGGCCACTGGTTTGCCATCATGGCAAATTCCTCCAGGTCTGTCACCACTTCACCTCCTCAGCTCCCTGCAGTCTGCTGACACTGTAACCAAACCTTTTCACCTGTCCGCCCTGTCTCCTTCTTTCAGGAAAACACCTTGGTGACCCTTCTCTACTGTTTTTTGCTGCCAGGGTCTGTCCCCTAGGTGTTCCTCAGTTTCTGCCTGGGTCCTCTCATTACCCTTCTCCCTGGCTGGCCCCTTCTGCTTCACTGCTTGAAGTGTAGCCTGAGGATTCCTGCCATCTTTTTTTTTTTTTAAATTCCTGTCATCTTGAGCCTGTATCTCTTTCTGACCTGGGTGACATCTCTGTAGCAGTTCTGTCCTTGACTTCATGCCCCAGCTGAACTTGTCATCTTGTGTCACCCTGACACACCTACTCCACCTCCAGGCCACCTGTCTCAGGGAGTGTCCTTCATCCACCCAGGTGGTGACGTGGTCAACCTGGTATCATCCTGTACTTCTCTCCCTGTCTAGTCGTGAGAATTCTGCCAGGTTTCTGAACTCTTCCCCATGTGCCTTTATTCAGGCCACTGTCACCTCTAGTTGTACTACTTCCTACCCTTTCCTCATGTCCTCTTCCAGTGGGTTCTCTGCACCCAAATTGAGGCCTGCACCCAGCAGCACCCTGTAGTAGAAGCAGAGCGCCGTACCTCAGGGCTTCCTGTGTCTGCGCAGGACACTTCCTGTGTGTCTCAGACGCTGGCCTAGGATCTCTGGGCCTGAGCCCTTGCTGGGTTTTCCAGAACATCTGCTATATTCCCTGGAAGAAGCAAAACTACCAACGGGCCCTCTGGACTTCCTCCAGGTTCATCTTGAAGAGTGTGCGCCTTATGGAAATATATGTTAATATATGGTAATTGTATCTCACTTTTATGCAGCCTTGCTAAACGTAAACATTAATTAACTTCAGAAGGGAATAAGGGGAAGGCAACAGTTGCTACAGTTCTCCTTCCATGCAGCAGTAGGAACTGGATCAAACCATATTCCTAAATCCAAATCAGCAGAACATCACTTCTCTAACTCAATTTAACAATTTCTTTCCAAGATCTATGATAGTGGTGCATGTCTATAATCCCAACAGTCTGGGAGGCAGAGGCAGGAGGATTGCAAGTGGGAGCCCAGCCTGGGCAATTTGGCAGTTTAGCAAGATTCTGTCTCAAAATAAAAAAGGGCTGGGGATGTAACTAAATGCAAAGGCCTTGAGTTCAATCCCTAAGGACTGAAGATGTTGAAAACAGGAAGTAAATTTAAAATAGTAATGCTAGTTCATGTGCCCCAAGCCCACATCTCTCAAAGTAGTGGTAGAGGGACAGCCTCCTGCGACACCTCTATCATGAAACTGAACTGTAATGAATCAGATCTCCAGGGGAGTCACCCAGGAATCTGTACTTTTAAAGGGCTCCTTCACAGATGCATGCAACAAATCACTTTTGGCTTCCTGCAAACTACCTACCTACCTGTAGGCAGCTATCGGTTCTTCCTTCTGTATAGGTAGTTTGTCAGGTTTTTTTTTAAAGAATTATTTATTTATTCATTTATTTTGTGTGTGTGGCCAGCTCAGCCCACCAGGGGGCAGGGCTGGCTGGCATGTGGTGCTGGGGGATTGAACTGCGGTCCCTGTACTTTGCTTAGCTTAGCTTGTTCTAAGTAGGTGCTTTAGACCACTGAGCCATCTCAACAGCCCCTTGTTTTTGTTTTTGAGACAGGGTCTCACTATGAGTTTAGACTAGCCTTGAGCTCACCTTGTAGTCCAGGCTGGTCAAAAACTGGCAAGGATCCTCCTGCCTCAGCCTCCTGTGTGCTGGGATTACAGGTGTGTGCCACCACACCCAGCCAGTTTGTAGGTTTGAAGAGCATCCCTGTCTTCCTTCAGTTTCTGGGGTTTGCTTGTGTAATGAATATTTAATGAGGATCTACTATGTCCCAAGAACTGTGTGGCACTAGAGATACAGACAGTAAATGAATGAGAGGTGCTGTGGAAGAGAAGGAAAAAGAATGGTGGCAGTGAGTGGGTACAGAGGCCTCTCCAAAGAGCTGATCTCTCAGTTGAGGACAACTACGAGGCAGCAGCAGGGCCTCTGAGGTCGTTGCAAGGGTGCAGATAAGACAATGCCTTCAGGAGCAGGGGTGAGGGTGGTACAGGAGGTAGGAGCAGGGGCAGTGCCAAACATCAGAGCTTCGCTGCCCATAGTTTACTCCATGCCAGGAAAGCTGCTGGGGACTTCATACTGGCAGTGATAAGATTGGATTTCCACTTGTGAAGTGTCCCCTGGCTGCTGCATGGAGGATGGGGGGTACAAGCAGTGGAAGCACCATCCACAGGGCTACAGAAGTGTGGACTGGCAGGGACAGGGCAGACACCTGGAGTACACGGTCCAGGCCTTGTTTAATGGAGGACTGTACAGAAATCAAAGGCGATGAGCAGTTATTGAGGTGGGAAGATAGAGGGAAAATTTTCTCCATTCTCTCACACTGCATTTGGGGTGGCTGCCAGGCAGCTGACAGGACCCAGGCATGCTGGACACTGGGGCAGACAAACCTCAGAGAAAGGCAGAAGCTACTTTTTTTCTTTCTTTATGTATTTAGTGCAGGGTCTACAGGATCTTACTACACAGATCGGATTTGTAGAGATCCTGTTTTTCAGCCTCCCAAGCGCTGGGATTACAGGCGCACACCATGCCAGCCTCATTGGCTGTCTTGGTGCGTATCAGGGGTGGGGCTGGCATGGCACACGGAGATTGAACCCCGGTCCCTGTGCCAGCCTAAGCAGGTGTTTTAGTCCTCTGAGCTATCTGGCCGGCCCTAGAAGGTACTTTTGAGGACAGCACTGAAACCAGACACAATGTCGCAGGGCTGCTGTGGACAGAGGGCAGCATACTGAACATCCCTACATGTAAGGAAGGGCAGTAAGGGCCAGGAAGGTGTCAGGACTGCTGTGTGGGAAAGGCTGTCTGTCATGTAACCAAGGGCCTGACTCAGGGAGGAAGAGCACAGCAGGTGATAGGTGGGGGAGAGGTGGAAGCAAACAGGACCCTGGGATGGGCTGGAGATGGGAGGACAAGGGGCCTGAGCTCCACCCTCGTTCACTATCTTAGCAGATCCCAAGGCTTGTGAATTGGCCTGTGTGTGTGAGAGTGTGCGTGTACTATCTTTAACAGAGACCTTGGGGCTTGTCAATTGGCGTGTGTGTGTGGTACTGGGGCTCAAACTCGGGACCTTGTGCTTGTCAGGCAGGTGCCTATGCCATGGGATCTATATCCCTGGCCTGTGTGTACTATTTTAAAGGAGGCCTTGGGGCTTGTCAATTGGCCTGAGGGGTGTAAGCGTGCACTGGGGTATGAAACAGACCTTCAGGGGACCTGTGGGATCATCCTACACCATACCAGGGTGGAGACAGAGGCACCCAGTTGCTAAGCTGGTGTGCAATGTAATGTAGACCTTTCTCCAGCTGCCCGGATGGCGAGGCCCACAGGAGGGAGGAGAGGTCTGAGGGAAGAGGACACACACAGCTCCTTGTGGAAAAGAGCAGTCTGAGGACAGGCAGGCAGAGCTGGGCTGGGCTGCAGTGAGACGTCTGTGGGCCCGTTCCAAATGGGGGCACTGCGGAGATAACTCCGTAGAATAAGTGCTTGTCCGGCAAGCACAAGGGCCTGAGTTCAATCCCTGGTTCCGCAAAAAAAAAAAAAAAAAAAAAAAAAGCCAAATGGGATAAGCAGTACAGCCGCTGGCCTCTCCAGGTGAAGATGCCAGCATCACGAGGAGCTGGGCTCAGTTCCCTGCTTTGGGAAATGCTCCTGTGCCTCCAGGTTTCGCAAGCATGCTCGGCCCATCCCCCAACAGCCAAACTCATTATCCACAGTAGCTGTGTTCTGTGACGCCACCAGACAGTACGTCAACTAGACCTGAAGCCCTGCTCCTCAGGGAAACAGCACTGGGTTCCCGCCAGCCTCTGACCATGCTTCCAGCAGCTGAAGCTTACATTACCTTGTATTACGTTTCTGTTCAAAGGCACCCTATTCACTCTCTACTGCTGATTCATTAAGGCAGGGCTCACAGCCAAGAGGTAGGCAATACAGACTTCCTCCACAAGGTACACCAAGGCCTCCTTGCACTTGGAAACACTAGACAGCACTTCAGCACTAGGTGTGGGGGACACTTAACAATCAGACAAAGCAACAAATACAGAAAATCTGCCCCAGAGAAAGACAATGTGCAGTATGAGCTGATGCAAACAAGGCTTGCCTTACTTGACCTCACGTGGGGACACATGAATTGTCAGGCAACTCAAACTCTCTACAGGGGGCCTGCCCCTTAGCTCAGTTCTTTAAGTGGCTGCTTCAACAAAGCAGTCAGGCTCAGGTTGCTGTGGTTTGATCCCCATAACTCAAGCCAGCCAAACCTGCCCTGAAGGCATGCGGAGCAAAAAAACCAACCAACCAAAAACCTCTCCACAAGGTGTGTATGGAAATGACTATGCGAGCAAGGTTATGGACTATGGGCACAAGTTAATTTTAATGAACAATTTCCCAAATATGGGACCCATGACTGGAGCATCATCCACACTTTATGCTACACTACACTGTACTAGTATCACACGCACACACTCCTGCTGCCTTGAGCCACCTGGGCGACAGATGTGATGGTTCCATCGGGCAGCCTATACTACTAGTGGTAAATATGGATCTGATTTATCAGTGTTCTGACCAATAAAATTAATAAAAATCCATCAGAAGGGGCAGGCATGCAGGTACCACCATCATGAATGTGTGACAGGAGGGTCTTGCAGCCCAGAGCCCTGGTAGCATCCCCAGGGACCTCCCCACCAAGCACCTCCCCAGGACAGCAAATCTGCTTGACAGGTTCTAGTTGTTCTGGCTGGGTTCAAATCCAAGCTCTACCACTTACTCACTGGTAGATGAATACTATAATACGAAAGTATTCTACCATGAGTAGCTTGGCCTGACATGGGGTGTTAAGGTGCCCAGCATATACGCTAGCAATGAGCGAACACAGGCCTACCTTGCTGGTAAAGCAGAATCTTTACAAAGGAAGTCTTCTTCCCTCTAGGCACTAACTAGGCTGACTTGCTTAGCTTCTGAAACCAGGAAAGACGGCATATTCAGGACGGTACGGCTGCAGTCATGAGGTTTCTGACAGGAGAATATGTTATTACATTCATGAGTTTCCTTCCAGACTGTCTCCACCACAATCCACCAACTGGGGCGTTACTTCATCTTTCTCCCGATTGTGGCATTGCGGGGGTGCACTCTAATCTTACCTACTCCCTTCTCAACGCTGACATCTGTCTTCTTCCCCAAATACTACCCTGGAGACTGCAAATCATTACACCCTTAGAAGTACTGATGTTTCCAACAGTGGCGAGAAACTGCTGCTGCACATTTTCTGCCTACTCTCAAAAGATACTTGCCTGGCCACTTGCCACAGGACTACTGAAGGTGTCTCTCACTGAGTGCAGCCAGCTGACCAGGCAGGGGCAGGGACTTGCCCCAGCCATCACCAGAGGCAAAGGCAGACTCAAACCCAGGCCCTCAGGCTCCTAGCTGGGCAGCCTCAGTGGCCTCTGGGGGAGAGGAGGCTGACGAGGTCCTGGCTGACACATATTGGGGGTAGGGAATGGAGTCAAGGAAACAAAAATCCAGAACAAGTCACAACCAGTCCCCTACACAAGAGAAATACAGATTTCAAAATGTACAGCCAGGCTGTGTGTTAATTTATTAGGGCTGGGGCTGGTGAGATGGCTCAGTGGTCTGAAGCACCTACTTAGAGCAAACAAGCTTAGCAAAGCACAGGGACCACGGTTCAATCCTCCAGCACCACATGCCAGCCAGCCCCGCCCCCTGGTGGGCTGAGCTGGCCACACACACACATAAATAAATAAATAAATTTAAAAAAAATTTATTAGGGCTGATGCTTCATTTTGGCTTTTTGAGAAAGATTTGTGTGACTTAAGCTACTGAAGGGACAGATGTTTGCATAGACATCACATGGCTCAGAGTAGGGCCAGGGAAATCTATGCTACAGAAGTAAAATCAAGCATCCCGGGTTCCCCATCATGCAAAATAACTACTTCCTCAAAGCCATTCCAGCCCGTAAAAGGCACACGATATACTTAGCAGCTGGAGATAATCCAAAAACAGAGCAAAGGCTCTAATTTGAAACTGACTCTGTCAACCCTGTTTGCCTGAAGGCACTGAGGACAAAGTGGCCCTGTTACTTGCCATACACCCTGGTTCAAGCACAGTGCTCTATGCTCTGGAGGTGCTGGATCCACTCTGGCCAGGACACACAGTGGGAGCACGGGCTGCCTCTCTGTCACTGGCAGCACCCACTAACCCAGGCAGAACACAGGCCCTCCCTAGGAATTCCACCCAATACCAAGTGTGGTCGCTTTCAGCCCCCCTTTCTGTTTAGTCCCCCTTTGGCTTCCGGATGAAAATATAGCTTTTCACCTATACCCTACCCTTCCAGAATGGCTAGCCCCCCCTCCCAGCCCCGTTCAGCCCAGCCTGGATTCTCTACCTGCTTATTTCTGTAGCCACCCAACTTCCCCAACAGCTCTTTCCACACAGTGAGCTCCCTTCATATGGCCTGGCCTGCGCCAGCCCCTCTGTGGCAGGGTCTGTGCTCCCCATGGAGAAGCAGGTGAGGTGTCTACCTCAAGTCAGCCCTGGTGCCAAGGTTGTGTCCCCGATGAGTCTGGGAGCAGGTCCACGTCAAGGACCTGTGCAATCTTGAGGCCTTGTCTGTACTGTGTCATTTCATGGCCTCTCTATAGCTTTGGTAATTAATGTTTCACATGTCTGAACAAAACCTAGAGGTTTTCTGTTCTTTACTATAGCAACGTTCCCTTCTAAAAGCCCCAAGCTCATCCCTGTTTGAAAAAAAAGAGGCGCCGGCTGCTGGTGAGGAACTTCTCCCCTTCTGAGGAACATGGGGGGATGCTGCGAGGCAGTGTTCAGAATGTTCCCTCGTCCCCCAGGCTCTATCCTGGTCCCCATAACAGGCAGGGCAGCAAGGACCGGGGCTTCCATGTGTTTGCTAAGCAGCTTCTTCCCTGCTCTCTGCACTGAGGCGCTCCTGAGGCTCTGGCTGCAAAAAGTGACAGGCTTGTGACAGCTGCTGCTCAACCTCATCGCCCCATGATGAAGCTGCGGTCCTCTTCCTCCTCCTCTTCTGTGCCAGATGTCTCCTCAGAACTACTGGCAGGCTGCTCCTGGGACTGGCTGGGTCCTGAAACAATACAACATTGGATCACTGGATGACAGACACACAGATGTGTCCAGAGAGTGAAGGGCATCCTAAAAAGGAGAGAGCTGAGAGAACACAAGTGCCATTTTTTTTTTGTCTTTTTGAGACAGGGTCTCACTACAAAGTATAGGCTGGCCTTGAGCTCACTTTTTAGCCCAGGTTGGACTTTTTTTTTTTTTTTTTTTTTTTTCCTTTTTTGGCAGAAGTGGGGATTGAGGGGCTGGTGAGATGGCTCAGTGGTCTAAAGCACTTACTTAGAACAAGCTTAGTAAAGCACAGGGACTGCGATTCAATCCCCCAGCACCACATGCCATCCAGCCCTGCCCCCTGGTGGGCTGAGCTGGCCACACACACACACACACACACACACACAAATAAATTAATTAATTAAAAAAAAAAAAAAAGAAGTGGGGATTGAACTCAGGCTCTTGCACTTGCCAGGAAAACGCTTATTCCACTGAGCCATCCCCCCGCCCCCCTTGGTCTTGAACTCAAAAACAATCCTCCTCTGCCTCAGCCTCCCAGTGCTGAGAGTACAGGCATACACCACCATGCCCAGTTTACGAGCGCCTCTTACAGAAAGCACAGCCAGGGGCTGGAGGAAGGCCACTCACCTGCTGCGCCTGCATGCCCTTCCTCCTGGTGCTCTTGGCTGTCACTGGAAGGCCCAGCAGCATAGAGGATCCCAACATCCTCCAGACCAGCCCACTTTTTTGTATGGCTCCTATCATCTATCATGCTCACTACCTCCTAAGGGTGGCTTCCCCACCTGCCCCTTGAGAATTTACTACAGGGCTGCACATGGTCCCCTTGGAGTCTCAAGCTTACTATGGGTGCAAGGGGGGGTGCCAGTAACTATGCAGCAGGGGCTGGGCCAGACTCAATGACAGAGTGTATGCCTCGTGTGTCCAAGGCCCAGGGCTTGATCAGCAACATCAAAACAAAACGGCCTGGACGGCCAGTGGCGCTCTTGGTTCTTCCAAACATGGGCTGGAGCCCTCTCCCCAACACCTTGAAGGCAGCTCCTGAATTACCAGCATTTTCCTTGTCAGGCCTGACACTGCCACAGTGCAACTGAGCTGGCCCAATAGCAGCAGAGACAGCCCATTCACTGCCTTCCTCTGGCCCTCTTATGGGAGCTGGAAAGTGGAACCAAATCACAGGGTGGCACAAAGTCCTCCAGCCCAGCCATCTGGGGTGGTACCTGGGGGACAATGGCCATGTCAGGTCCCCTGGGCTGGCCAATGGTCCCAGCCCACAAATGAGCAGGGTCATTTCTGCTGCCTCATGCCCACAGAGCTATGCTACTACTGTCACCACAGGCTGACAGGGCTTGCGGTACCCGAGGGACAACATAGCCTAAAAATCATTTTCCCACCCTCCCTAGGAGGGGACACGGAGAAGAGCTACAAAGCCTCTGAAAGCACTACCTCCCACCAGTGAATGCCACAGAGCCTGTGTGGCTCACAGAGTCAGGGCTTGGATCTTGAAGGGTCATCTTTAAAGGGAGAAGCTGAAGAGCTGGCTCAGTGATGGACAACTATCATCATCCTGGCCTCTCAGGAGTCTGAGACAGAAGGACCAAGAGGAGCTAGTGTGGGGGTACATGAAGACGATTCCAGCACTTTGGAGGCTGAATGTACATTGGGAGGCTGAGGCAGGATTATTTCAACTCTGAAACCAGCCTGGGCTACAAAGTGAGTTCAGGATCAGCCTGAACTGCATAGCAAGACCTTGTCTCAAAAAAAAAAAAAAAAAAAAAAGAAAGAAAGAAAAAAAAAAGTTCCATGAGTTCAAGGCCTCCAACTTTCAAGCCCTTGAACAGAATTAATCTAACTCATTCTGTCAACATAATGAATAAGTAAACAGTAATACATAATAAAGAGCTTACTTCTTGCCAGCTATTATGCTTAATGCTGGGAATATAAGAATTCAAAGATACTTAAAGTATAACAAAATACTACAACATAAGAATGGCTAATATCCACAAAACTGGTAAGGGCTGATGGGATAGCTCAGGGGACTAAGTGCCTGTTTGGGCAAGCACAGGGACTGGGGTTCAATCCTCAGCATCAAATGCTGTGCTGGTGCCAGTCCTGCCCTGGGTGTACTGGCCACTGAGACCAGGTGTGGTAGTACCTGTAACCCCAGCACTGGGGAGGCTCAAAACAGGACGATCACTACTCCAAGCTGGGTAGTGAGACCCTGTACCAAATACACAAAACAAGCAAACAAAATCTGGTAATACAAATTACTGCTGGTGAGGATGTACACAACTCAACTTTTAGCCCTCCCCAGTGGTAATGCAAAATTGAACTACTACTTTGGAAAACTTTGTAACTTTCTTTCATCTTTTTAAGACAGAATCTCACTATGCAGTTCAGGCTGGCCTTGACCTCATGATCTTGAATTCATGATGATCCTTTTGCCTCAATCTCCCAGTGCTGGAATAATAGGAATGGTGAGATTATAGGTATGCCACTACGCCCAGCAGATATTAATCAGATTAATTTTATACAATCCAACAATCATATTCCCAGGCATTTACTCAATTGACTGGAAACAAATGTACACAAAACCCAGCATCCAATTGTCTAGTGCAGCTTTATTCCCAGTTTTCCAGATTGCGTTCCAACTCTCGATCCTCCTGTCTCAACCTCCCAGAGTGCTAGGATTACAGGCATATGCCAACCACATAGCTAAAATACTGATAAAT